CCTGGGAAGCAGCTCCCCCTGAGCCGGACCTCAGCCAGCGGCCGGGGCTGAGCAGGGCCTCAGAAGGAGACACGGGAAGAGGCAGACCTGCCTGGCGCTCCCGTGTCAGGGAGAAGGAAGGGCCTGGGCGGCGCTGCCTCCAGCCCTCCCGACAGGAAAGGCTCCCAGAGGTCTGTCCCCACCAGGAAGGAGGAGGAAAGGCAGCACCCATCACCGTCACCGCAGTACGTCAGGCTGCTCTGGGCCTGTGTCCCCATTCCGTCCTCTTAGGTGCAGCCCGATGGGCAGCAGCTGGGAGCGGGACGGGCCCAGCTCAGTCAGGAACACCCTCAGAGTCCAGGCCTCTAGCTGAGGGCAGAGCGGACCCCAGCATTTGGAGGGTGGGCAGGGTCCACTTATTACCCGAGGGGGCCCCGGGAGGCCTGGTGGGCCTGTCCTGCCTGTGCTGAGTCTGTCTGTCCCCACCCCACAGACTACCTGGTCAACGTGATGGACGCCCTGGGCCTGCAGCCCTCCCGCACCCTGCAGCACGTCGGGACGCTGCTGAAAACCAAGCCCGAGGACTACCGGCAGGTCAGCAAAGGCCTGCCCCGGCGCCTCGCCGCCACGGTGGCCGCCATGCGGAGCGTGGACTACTGACCCTCGCGCGGCCGAGAGGAGGGCGGGGCTGCGGCCCAGGCCAGGCAGCTCTTCAGAGCGGCTTTGCTCTAAAAACTGCCCGGATTGGGCAGAATTGGTTTTAAAAAGGCTTTCATTTGTGATTAAAAAAAACACCCCCAAACATTGTAAATCAGAGGTTTATTTATTAGAGCGGTATTTTCAGATGATTTTTTTAAATGACCCGATCTGGAAAGTGGAATTAATAAATACAGTGAAACGCAAGAACGTTCTTTCCTTTCTCTCCAGCGGATGGCTGGTTCTGCGCGTTGGGGACGTCTGTGAGAAAGGGAGGGCGGGGTTGGCAGGTGAGCAGCAGAGAAGATACTTTCAGATACTAGGGAGCAAGAGGGCATCGGGCGGAAGGCAGCCGGGTGTGATGGGTGGGCAACCCCAAGACCCAAAGGACAAGACCTGGCAAAGAGCGGGCACAGCGCCGACCCG